ATGGTCCAGACTTGGTTAACCAATTCTGGTTCAAATCTGGGTCGCCGTAGCATGGCCGGACCTGAGATTCCCAGTGTTAGACCAAAGTTGGGTGAATTAAGAGATAGCTAAGACTTGATTTCCCAGCCGTGGCCCAAGATAGGGTGAACATAGGCCAAGCCTGAATTACTCAGCTTTGGACCAATCTTGGTGCGCCGAAGTCCGGTTTCCCGCGACTGGGCGACGCTTAGCCCCGTTGTCAAACTACGGGGATTCCTGTATGGGTACCAAAAATCGCGATCTCGAAAGTATCGTAACGACTGTAATAGGAGCATCAACGCCAACAGTGACCCATCAAAGCGCGACGGTATGTACTTACCAGTTCCAGTTCGAGTTACTACTGTTCGCGACCGACAAAACTCAACACTACGAGCGCATCCAGTAGTCGCGCGACCACTGGCACTGGAGCGAAGTACGTCGCGGTATTTACCATTACATCTTACCGCATGCAATTACCGCATTACCAGTTACATCTCTTCGCGAAAAACAAAGCAGTCGAGGTCGCGCGACGCTACGTACCAATTCAGTTAATAATGTTCGCGACCGACGAAATCGCGCCCTAGGAGCGCGACGGCTGGAGCGAAACACGGCGTTATGCGGTTACTGCGGTTCGGGCTAACTCCAAGAACAATTATAAATAATTTATAGCTTTTTCGTTATTATGATCATTGTTCTTCAGTAACAGGTTCCTGATTCGTTGTGGAGCGCGACACGACGTTACAAAAAATACCGCTTAAAAAAATCGCGTTACTCAAATACCGACATATCACTAATTATTACTATCGTAGAACGGTACCAATTTCTGGATTTGAACAAACTTGTAATGTTTATTTATTTATAACAACGAGTAGATGTTTGCCTAAAATGATATCTGCTTAAAGGACGGGTGTCCCACTGCACAAATCTGTCCCACTTTTTCGTCAAACGGAAGATGCTGTAAACAAAATTTTCATAGCCCTCTTTGTTTCTGAGCTACAGGGTCTTTTCGAAAATTTTGTCAATTAGTATCTCTGTTATTGTGAAAGATTTCGAGAAGGTTAAAACTGTCTATTGTACAACTTTTTACGTAGAACACAGTGGCGTACTCTACTGTTCTACGAAAAAATATTTAATAACTAAAGTTATGTTTTTTTTAAATGGAATTACATGCATATTGATAAATTATTTGATCTGGCTTGCCATGTGTTTCCCAAAAATGTATATCACTCTATATTTATTTTCACTATTTACTGCAATATTTAAAAGTTCATTAAAAGATCATTTTTATTAGTAGGCCACGATGGATGGAAGAAAGATTGGGACCAATGCAATGGACCCATACGGTGGTCTCCCTGATCCCAGGATTTTTGAAATATGAAATATATCGTGGCAACTACAACAATTTCGAAGAACTGGAAAATGCTATCAGGCAAGCTCTTAGATATTTGAAAACCCATCCCGTTATAAAAAAGAAAAAAATATACAGGGTGGTCCACCTCATTCGCCGCGGTTGATTATACGAAAACGGAAAGATGTAGAAACAAAATATTTTATGGGTATAAGCGGGGAGGCAATGTGCACAATTTAAAATTATTTTGAAATATACAGGGTGTTTCAGAACTAAGATCCATACCAAAGTTATATTTTTTCTTATGGAACACCCGGTATTTTATTTCATTTTTGGATTCTTGGGCCCAAAAAAAGGCGTTTATTATAAGGGTTAAATATGTTTAAAATCTTTGGTTTTTGAGATATTTAAAGATATTTAAATTTGCATGCTACAATAGAATAGATTATTAACACCCTGTACATTACTTTTCAGAATTAATTATTGTGCTCAGTTTAAAGGTAAAGAAATAAACTTTACTGAAAAATGGCACTGCTTCCTTAAATCTATACAGGGGTATGAAAAATTGCTAATTTAATTAAGGGATTTATTTTACATAAAACCTTCGTTATTTCAAATACAATACCCTGTATTTTTTATGACAAATCGAAGCAGATTCAAATGCTCTTTCAAACTATATTAGGGTTTCCTATACCTATCTAGCTCAGGTTTTGAATAAAGAAAAATTTTTCAATAAAATGGCTACCCAGAGGGCTAGTGTCGTCATGGCAGCTTTTTATTGACAGTTAGTAGCTATTTTCAAAATCGAAATTAGCTTATGGACTTATTTAAATTTATACCAGTTTACTTTTATTTAATTTACCTACAATAGTTTAATAAATAATATTTATTAAATATGTATTTATTATTTTATCAAGAGAAACGAAGAAGTAGTTCTTTGATTTATTTTACGATGACTTGTAGATATATTGATTTTCTAGAATAGAGACAATTACGGCAAAATCATTTTCTTCACTTCCAACGACAGGTTTCTGCCTAACAAGTTTTTTATAAACCACACCACCAGCTCTGTGAAATAGGGCAAGTAGTTTTTCAAAGGAACGCTTATCAGGAAGATTCGTATTTTTAGATACTTTTGAGCATATGTTCTTGAGGCCAAGAAGCAATTTTCCTCACAAAATAAACTCGCTAGAAACATATCCATTCGTTCCGCCAGCAGATGCTGCTTTATTTTTCTTGATAAAATAATGAATACTTATTTATTAAACTATTGTAGGTTAATCTAAGCTAACTGTTTTAAATTATAAATGAAAATGTCCATAAACTAATGTCGACTTTGAAAATAGTTACTAACTGTCACTAGAAAATTGCCATGGCGACAACAGCCATCTTGATTGCAATTTTATTTAAAAATCGCTTTTTATTCAAAATCTGAGCTAGATAGGTATAGGAAACCCTAATATAGTTTGAAAGAGCATTTGAATCTGCTTCGGTTTATTTAAAAAAATACAGAGTGTTGCATTTGAAATAACGAAGTTTTTATATAAAATAAATGCTTAAAATAAATCAGCAATTTTTGACACCCCTGTATAAATTTAAACTGAGCACAATAATTAATTCTAAAAAGTAATGTACAGGGTGTTAATAATCTATTCTATTGTAGCATACAAATTTAAATATCTTTAAATATCTCAAAAACCAAAGATTTTAAACATATTTAACCCTAATAACAAATGCCTTTTTTTGGGCCCAAAAATCCAAAAATGAAATAAAATACCGGGTGTTCCATAAGAAAAAATGTAACTTTGGTATGGATCTTAGTTCTGAAACACTCTGTATATTTCAAAATAATTTTAAATTGTACACATTGTCTCCCCGCATATATCCCTGAAATATTTTGTTTCTACATCTTTCCGTTTTCGTATAATCAACCGAGGCGAATGAGGTGCGCCACCCTGTATATTGAGAGTTTCAGTGGTAACAGTTTATAAGTAAAATATTTCAGTCCCAAATAAAATTTTAAGGTGTCTGTCTAGTTTAGTAAATAAATACCCCCCATTTTGATTTTTTTGTTATACAGGGTGTTTCAAAACAAATGCGAAAAACTTCAGGGGGTGATTCCTTGTTCAAAATTAAGGGTAGTTTGCTTCATAAACGTTGGGTCAAAAGTCAACCATTAGGGAGATATCGCAGTACAAAGATGGCGGAAAAATAATGTTTTTATTTTTTATCTTGAAAACGAAAAGAGATAGACGAAAAGAGATAGACTAATTAAATTTTATGGAAGCATTACTGTTATGAAAACACCCTTTCTGGTAATTTTTTCACTTTTTTAAAATGAGTGGAAGGGGTTGAAATAAACTACCCCTATCATTCTTGTTAACGAAATTTAAAGAAAAATCTTTAAATTAACGAAATTTGAAGATAAAACACATGCAAAAAAATGAATTTGGATAGTTTAGTTTGTTTAGAAACTTTTTTATCTCTTGTATTTTTTTGATAAAACTCACCGATTTGAAATTAAAAAATAAAATGTAAAGCATTACATCTCAGGACAAAAAACATTTTCTGATAAAGAATCTAGTGAGCTGCTGTAATTTTTTTAGGAAAAAATCTAGTCGGCCGCTGTTAATTTTTAGGATGTTTCTAATATTATTTTATTTGACATTACTCTACCGCAATACGTTATTATCTAGATGATTATTATTATCGTTATTTTCTTTCTAAGATTCTTAATCTAAAAATGTGTTTTGTCCTGACATGTAAAGATTTACATTTTATTTTTTAATTTCAAATCGGTGAGTTTTATCAAAAAAACACAAGAGATAAACACAAGTTTCTAAACAAACTAAACTATCCAACTTAATTTTTTTGTATGTGTTTGATAAGATTTTTCTTTAAATTTTGTTAACAAGAATGATAGGGGTAGTTTATTTCAACCCCTTCCACTCATTTTAAAAAAGTGAAAAAATTGCCAGAAAGTGTGTTTTCATAACAGTAATGCTTCCATAAAATTTCATTAGTCTATCTCTTTTCGTTTTCAAGATAAAAAATAAAAACATTAATTTTCCGCCATCTTTGTACCGCGATATCTCCCTAAGGGTTGACTTTTGACCCAACGTTTATAAAGCAAACTCCCCTTTATTTTGAACAAAAAATCACCCCCTGAAGTTTTTCGCATTTGTTTTAAAACACCCTGTATATCACGGCCTACTAATAAAGAAATGATATCTTTTAAATATTGCAGTAAATAATGAAAATAAATATAGACTGATATATATATATATATTTTTGAAAAGCTCGTAAGAAGACGGATCATATGATTTATAAATATACAGGGTGCTCCATTTTAAAAAAAACACAACTTTAGATCATATTTTTAAAAATATATAGTGTTCCAAATTGCAAAATTTTTGAGAAGACCCTGTAGCTAGAAACGAAGAAGGCTATTTTCTTTACGGCATTTTCCGTTTGACAAAAAACTGGTACACGTTCGTGGAAACCGCATCCTACTATCTATACTAATAACGGAGATAGCGTATGATTTCAACTAAAATGGGACACCCTGTAGATCTAGTCATCAAACAATAATAAAAAGATGATATTTTTGGTATAAAATAAAATGAAAAAGTAATGAAAAAGTAAATATTTTATTAATACATGTTAATAAGTCTTTTTTCTCATATTTTGATACATATAAAATGTTATTTATCCAATATTTACGGGACTATAACATTCTGTATTCGCTTCATTATACATTATTGGAAAAAGTAAATATGTTTAATGCAAATAAAATGGAATATTCCAATTGACATAAGAATAAATTAAACATTATTTCTGCTGGGCTGTTATTAACTTACAGCCGGTAGGAATTTTTCCAAAACAAACACACAGTCTATCAATTCCACATCAAAACAGTCTCCGATATTAAACGAAATATTATAGCTACATTTACTATCGACATAGATGCGTTTAGATATAATGTTGATGCATTTCTTTTCACGCTGTCCTTCGCATTTTAATTCTAAATTTATTTTTACCACACCTTCACAGTGCTGTTTGGCAATATTGAACACTTCCAATAACATTCGATTTAGATTTTCCAAGTACAGGCAGTTTACAATAAGAATAACATTAAATCTACGATATAAGAAGATGTTGTTATAGATATTTCGATGGTTTAATGTAAAATCAGCTCGGCCCTTATAATATTCTCTGTGAATATGTTTGAAATGTTGTATAAATTGTGATGCCACTCCCCTAAATTCACATTTAGGGCATTTGGTTTTTGAAACTACACAACTCGCTTCGTGAAACTCAATTTGGTCAATGGTTAGATACTTCGGACATCCCTCGTATCTATTTATACAGGGAAATAATGTTTGAGAGCTCGCATAAGCGTATAAGACAATTGGAATAGTGTATTCGACATCCTGTGTTGCTACTGGGTTTTGTAAAACTACCAGAGGTGTTGGACTATGGTTTTGCAAACGAGTTTTGTGCTGTGTACATCTACCACAGAGCTGTAATCCATTTGAAAGGAGGGTGACAGGTAAGACCGTCAAATAGGAGAAACATTTCTGGCAAATGAGGTTGTCCAGGATTTTGTCTGGTATGATTTTTGAATCTGTTTGGTTCATCTCCTGAAACAACAGTATAAATTATTTCATTACTAACTTAAGTAATAATTTTATCTTAATAATAAGGGCCGGCAAAGGTCAGTCTTGGGTCGAGATTTCCGTATGTAAGAAGAGTACAATGCGTTTATAATGTACTGAACAAAGAGAGAACAGTAAACACCGTGCCAAACGTATGAAATGAATCGAGAAACTGTGCACATTGCTAAGAGACGTGGAAGGCGATATAGCAGATTTGTGGCAGTTGACCAATGAGGTTATAAGGGGCAGTTGACCCATGCAGTTGACCGGTCGACCCAATCAGTACCTCTGTCAGTACTTAAAGTAATAGGGAAAGGTGTACATCATGCGTTCAGCTTCACGATTTAATTACGTCTCGTGATACTTTATTTGTTTATTTACTAACGAGTCGTTGTAATTATCCCTATAGCTTGAACATTTTTAAGTGCAAGCTAGAAACACTTGCATTTTTGGTAAAAAGAATTGGTTTTCGACAGTGGCCGGGCTATTAGAACTCCGAATTGAAAAATCGATATCTCGAAATCTATTAGAAATAATTGATTGTAGTTTTTTCAAAAACTTTCTTAATATTTCTGCTGCATTTTCTTCGTAGACAGTAAGCGAAAATCTTTATCAATAAAAAAATACAGGACTGCTGAAAATTGCTATGCTCTTAAAGTAAATAAATGGGTTGTTTACAATTTTTGAATGGAAAAAAACAACCTTATCGATTTTTTTCTTATGTAAACATATTGTAAAAGATCCTATCTTCAAAATAAAAAAAAGTTTCAATATCTCAAGTGTTTCTTATGTTATGACGTGTTATGTGTTAAAAAGTTGAGTTTTTAAATTATCGCGATAACCCATATAACACACAATATCCGCAGGATATTCATAGAATGTTAGAATGTCCCATTATAAGATCATCTTATAAAGACATCTATAGGATATCCTCCAGACATCCTGAAATCCTGTAGATGTATAAGAATAGAATATCCTATGGATATCTCTGTCGTATATCTAATGTACATCCAGCTGAGATATCCAAACATGCGCATGATAATAAAATATCCTAACAATATCGTCTAGATATTTAGAAAAATAAATAATGTACTACTTTTTATATTACATAAAATGCAATAAACCATACAGATAGATATGTATTACGTCAAGGCAACAAAATATTCTGTTGGTATCTTCTGGATAATCTAGATATTTATGAGCTTGGTCACTCCCAGTAATACAGAGAATTTAAAACGCCCGCGCAAAAAATTTCCCACAATCCATCTCGACAGTTGTTTGTTTTTGCATCGTGAATTATTCAGTTCTTTGATTTAGTGAAATTCGAGGTGAATTCGGTCCTTTCTCCATATTGAATGGGCTTAAAAATGACTGAAACTAACAAAACTGGTTGAGTTTGACCTCGAGCTTGACTTAGTTTTTTCTTATACTCATAGTTCTAGCCTTGTCCTAGCAGAAATTCTCTCCTAACCTCAACTAATGTCGAAAAACGACGAACGACTGAGGGTCTCACAATGAAAAATTTGTGACAAAATTGTAGTTGAAAATTTGTTGAAAAGCGCTTGTTCTTTATCCCTAAACCTATTTTCGTGTTTGATCTATTCGAACAGAAATCCTGTTTTAAATTGTGAGTTTCTGGAATGTGTGGTGTTAGAAATTATACCTGTATCCTGTGTGCTAACTTTGATATAAACTGTTGTTGCTAGACATAAACTGCTAGACTCCATAAAGGGTAGTATAATCTGGTATAATCCCATACGATCGAAAAAAACGGCGTCAGAAGTGGCTTGGAAATGAAGATTGCTGTTATTTTGTATGTAAAATTATATGGGGAATGTAATCGATCGTAATTTTCAAGCCAATTGAACGCCGTTTTTTTTTCGATGGTACAGTATAAATTGAAAGCTCTTAACTCATACAAATAAACTCCTAAATTTTGACGCAAAATTCATTGACATAATATGTAGGTATATTTTAGAGCTGTTAATAAAAATATCCAATAAATAACGTCAAAATGTGGCTAAATAAAACTAAATCGCGAACGTTTTTACTATAAACTAAGGATGAAGTAAGTATTGTCAAATAACAGTCCTCATATAATGTCTTAAAACTATTCTATAATGCTCCCAACATCATCCTTGTATTATCCTATAAATATCCTAAATAATCGTAAAAGGCTTGCCTAGGGATGTCTTGAAGATGACTTTTTTTGTCCCATCTGGATATTCCATAAATATCCTCCTCTGGTTTTTGGATATCCCTAAGATATTTACTATATCCTTGGTGGATATCCTCAAGATATCTTTTTTTTTTTTTGAGGAGAGGAAACATCTTTTAAAGACATCTGTCGGATGTTCATGACAGATAGTGTGGGATTTCCACCCACTAAAAAACCTCATCCTTTTCTTCACTACATGTTGGAACTACCGTCAAGATATCTATAGGATTGTGTTGTGTTATATGGGTACTGACATTTTTTCGTTATAAAAAAATGACACCTTAAAGATATCCTTATAATTCCATTTCAGATGCTCAGAAACATTTCTAATGATTTTATCTAGTTATTTTTTCGAAAAATTTTTTTTTTTAAATAAGCGCTTTGCGATCGTGGTTTTACTTTACTTGATAGGGAAAGGCGTACCGGCAACGCTGCAACAGCACTCCGTCGCATTTCTCTCACTCCGACTTAGTAAGATCCCTATGCGATTTACTTCCACACATGTAAATACCGACCCAAGAGTAACAGTTGCCAGCACGGTATAAATAATATATTGCGTCAACTTTCTGTCGTTATAATGCCAAATTTATATGACATTTCTGGTGAAATTAAATTGGAAAGTCTACAACTGTCAACGTCTGTTATACTTGTTTAACTGTCAACGTTAAAGCCCGCTTGATTATAATTTCTTTTTCGCAGAGTGTAAAAATTTTTATATTTATAAAATTCTACTATGGAAATTAACTAAACTTATAATCTAAGTATATTTTTTGTTTTTTCAAAATATACTTTTCTTTAAAAAATGTATTTAAATCCTCAAGATAAATATAAATTTTTTAAAATTATAGAAGTATTTACCTTTACAATAAAAATAAATGTGCGATTATGTCTACGAAAGAGCCATAATTCCTAGATTTATAGACAATTAATGAAATTTATTGTACATATATATATCTGTATAACTGAATTTATTGTAAAATTTATTTCTCAGTAAATGGGGACACACACACAGGGTAGTATATAGCGGCAAATATTTTAAAGAAGAAATATATTTTACAGAAATCCTTCGATGAGTAAAAAATGGCTGAAAATAAAAAAAAACTGTTGAAATAAATAATATAAAGTCGGGTTACTATATAGGGTGTCCCAGAAATAAGCGCAAATATTTTGAGGGGTGGTAGATCTCGATAAAAGAAACATATTTTCTCTTTATCATTTTTTAAATAAGTCCAAAATAACGGAGTTACTTTACTTTGAAAATTTCCAAAAAAAATATTTTTTGCTAAAATTTTGACAACCACTGGATCTTTTCTGGATTTTCTTCCTTGTAAATTTAATCTACTTCCTATGTTGCCATCTTTTCAAGAAATTATGTTTTTTAAATAAAAACTAAAAAAAATTTAAAAATTTTTTCAAAAAATTCCGAATTTTCAAAATTTTTTTTTCGCGAAAAAAACCTCATAGGCGTGTTTCTAGTGTTGAACTATACTAGCAGTTAAAATGTTTGCACTTATTTCCGGGACACTCTGTATAATAGTACAGGATCCGGCTGCAGGCTCATCATATTTTTAATCAAAATATAATTTTTAACGTATACCGGGTGTGTCTCAAAAGTGGCTCACCCCCTATAACTTTTTTATTTTTTCAGATAAAAAACGAGATTTGGTATGTCAGTATATGATGAACGTATTCAATTCTTTTTGACCACTTCCTGTTTCACCGGAAATGACTACAACTTTTGATTTTTTAAATGACACTTTCGTTATTTTTTTACTTTATTCGATAGGAAATGTCACTCTGAATAGATTGACATATCATATGTCAACTTTTGACATTTTCGCTTAAAACAAAATTATATTTTAAATTTCAATCTAGAGTGCCATGGCTATGCCAAAAACCCTTATAACAAATGCCTTTTTTTGGGCCTAAGAATCCAAAAATGAAATAAAATACCGTGTGTTTCATAAGAAAAATTATAACTTTGGTATGGATCTTAGTTCTGAAACACCCAGTATATTTGAAAATAATTTTAAATTGTGTACATTACCTCCCCACATATACCCATAAAATATTTCGTTTCTACATCTTTCCGTTTTCGTATAATCAACTGAGGCGAATGAGGTGCGCCACCCTGTATATGAATAGAGGAATACACTTTTAATAGGGTGTCAATCAAAAAGTTGCCGGAAATAGGGGTTGCCACGGTTCCGGCAACAATTCGTCGGCCATTAAAAATAACCGAGTAATTAGGAAATAACTTCAAAAATGAACTGATTTGAACTTTACTGATTTTGCAGGTTAAAATTTAAACTTTCATTAATTAAAAACACTTACAAACATTTCTATTTTCACAGCAAGTATCTAGAAGAGATGAAGAATTCAAAGCTATCGGCAACAAACTAACAAAATCTAAATGTAATTGTTTGGGTACGATTGATATGATCACGAGCCGCTTACAATCGAGGATCTTCTGATTTTAACCGGTGCAAGTCTGTTCACGGACGACCAATATCATCTGGACGAACTTGAGAGATAAACAGTAATAATTAAGAAATAATAATAATATGCCGATGACCCGACAGTACAGTATTAAAAAATCTCGATAAAAATCTCATATGAAACAAAAATTATTATTTTTATTCGTTTTTTGAATATTCTCTAAAATCGTTCTCGAGATATTCTTTTAAAAGTCCACACTGTTAACAGAGCTGCAACAAGTCAGTTTTAAAAAGACTTAAGTCGTAAGTCATTTCTAAAATTAAAATGATTTAAGTCAAATTCAACATAAAGTTGAAATGACTTTAAAAGTCTTAAGTCTTTGACTTAAATAATTTTATTTCAAGTAAAATCATTTTTGTAAAGACTGAAACCCATATAATGTTTTTTTTTACTTAAATTATGATGATCTACAATAGTTCAGTCATTGGGGATTTTTGCTTAGAAAAAAGTCCGGAAGTTTTGCAACTTTGCAGGTTTATAGGTTTTGGGGTCCCTAACTAAAATCCATAAAATGCACATTCCCAGACTTGCCGCCGGCGCCGCCATCTTGCCAAGCTGGCGCCCAAAATCGGTATTTTGTAAATATCTCGAAAACTATGCATTTTTCGCAAAAATTTGAAGGGAGTAAAATTAAAGAGAATAAAATTTCCTATAAAAAAGATTCTATGAAAATTTTCGCTGAAGTCAACCGTTTAGGCACAAAATCCCTGGAAATTTTACAATTTGCGTAAAATATGATATATTATGTATAGTCGATTTTCCGAAATCAAATGTCGATTAGGGTTCACTAAAACTAGTTTTAGATTAGTTTCTTTAATTTTGTCATGACAGTGGCGTATCATTAATTCGCTCATTAATTTATGAATAATTAATTTTAATTATTGAAAATGTGTACTTGTTTCCACACCCCCCAAGTGATAAAGTCATGGGGCGTTTATTTTAACGTGGTCTCCCCGGAGGCCTATTCTACTAGGCAAATTAAAAACTCTAACTTATCTGCACAAGCCCGACGGACCTGGCTCTTTGATGTAAAGTCGATCGTGTCTGCTGTGCTGGGCTCATCAGGGTGGTCTCTCAATTCGTCCAACTCTTCATCTTCAGCCGCCAGAGGGATAACTACAGGCAAGTCCAACTCCTCTTCACCGGATTCGTCAAGTGACACTTCAGTGACGTTGTCACAGGATTTTCCATTGCAGTATGCACAAATCATTGATCATTTTAATCCTGCTTTTCTGCATCCGCACGCTTTACCAGAGTTGTTGGTTTTGCATTTACAGGATAAAAATGCCAATAGGGATTTTGGAGCTGGATCTGTCAACGTTGTGACTGGATTAATGCCTGTTTTTGTTTTCTTCCAACCCCATTCTTCGGCATCTTTGGTACAACCAGACCAATGCTGAACCTGGTGGTAAGTTCGCAATGAATGCTGTCCAAAACAACAATTAATTATTCATAAATTAATTATTATATTAAACGAATTAATGATATGCCACTGTTTTATGACAAAATTGAAGAAACTAAACTAAAACTAGTTTTAGTGAACCCTAATCCACATTTGATTTCGGAAAATCGACTATACATAATATACTTTAAGCAAAATTGTAATATTTCCAGGGATTTTGTGCCTAAACGGTTGACTTTTGCGAAAATTTCCATAGAACATTTTTTATAGGAAATTTTATTCTTTAATTTTTCTCTCTTCAAGTTTTTACGAAAAACGCAGTTTTCGAGATATTTACAAAATACCGATTTTGGGCGCCATCTTGGCAAGATGGCGGCGCCGGCGGCAAGTCTGGAGATGTGTATTTTATGGATTTAGTTAGGGACCCCAAAACCTATAAACCTGGAAAGTTTCAAAACTTCCGGACTTTTTTCCAAGCAGGCCCCTTTTTTGATCCCCAATGACTGAACTATAAGTCTTCTTCTTCTTCTTTTAGAAGGCGTATCGCCTGTTTAGTTCCGGTTTCCTCCTCGTCTAAACAACTCTTGCGAGGTTGACTGCCAACTGTCTTGCCAACGTTTAGGTGGTCGTTCAGTAGGTCTTCTGCCATGGGGTACGTTGTTGCGAATTATTATGGCCATTCTGTCGGGGCCCGTTCTATTGACATGCTGGTTCCATTCTCTTCTTCTCTGCCTTATCCATCTGACAACGTCGTTTGTTTGGCACTTTTCTCTTATGTCTACATTTCTCTGTCTGTCCCTCAATGTGTATCCAGTTATCATTCTTAAGGTCTTCATTTCAGTAGTTCGTAGGATTCTCTTTGTTACTGATGTTTCAGCTCTGGTTTTTGCACCATATGTCATCACTGGTCGTATGCAGCTTTTGTATATTCTTGACTTACATTCTGTACTCAAATGTTTTTTTTTTTTGAACTATAAGTAAAGGTAGCAATTGGAGACATTCAGTCCAATATCGCCAGGTTGTCACATGACTACCAATGTCTTTAAAAATGTTTGGTGGCATAAACCGCCTGTTGATATCTTTATTGTGAATGCAAATACAGGATCTTTTTTTAATTATATTTCACGGAATAACATAGTTCTGTAAAACAATCTCAATCAGTGGCATAATCAGATTTTTTCCATTCTCTCTATTTTTGTAAAAAATAAAAAATATAATTTTATATTTCACACACGCAGTATTATTTCATATGACACTTTTAACGGTAAAATACGACAGAAAAATTATTGATTGGCCTTGATAAAAATTTACTGTGGAAAATGCCATATTAAATATAAAATTGCAAATATCTGCGAAACCGTTAAAAATTTTGAAATACTCTAAATACAAAAATTGTTCATTTTTAATTCTCCATCTATTGAAAAAATTATATACAAGGTGTTTATAACCATACAAGTTGTTTATACCATATAACGTTTTTTACCATAAAAAAAAATCAAAAGAAAATTATCTTATATATTAGAAAGTTTGGCGTTGAATTTTGAACATCCTGTATGATTTACTATTACCCTATTTATAGGAAAGTAAGTACAGACCATCGAAAGTAAACACCAAATATAGTTTAGACTTCAGGACAGACCTAGTTTTTCTAATAATTTTTTTAAGAAAGGCTGAAAAGTATATATTTTTTATTTATTTATTAATATCTCTGGAAGTATCGAAATATGTTTACTCATATCTTAGGATTATATAAAGTGTAAAGTAATATGAAAGGAAGCAAAAAATGCAATAATATACAGGATGTTCTATATAAAAAAATCATCCCGATCCACTCACACTTTTTTGAGCCACTCTATAGAAATGAAAATATTTTCCTGAAATACATTCTAGTACATACTTTTAATTTAAATACGGATCTGTACGGATTTCTTCGGATGTGGAAAGAAACAATCTGGATTGCTGTAATACATTATTGTAGATCGGTTATAGTTAAGTAATTATTTAAATAAATAACTTAAGATAAGCAGCGGTCATTGGTCATGAACTGAATTAATCATTTGCAATTCTGGCATATGTTGCTTGGGAACCAGATATGTATGTTTCATGTTTTTGGCTTTATGCAAAATGTTAGGTAGGTACTTTAATTATGGAAACAAGATTATAACTGTGTGTAATTAATTGCTTGTAAGATAAGGGATACTTGCCAACATACAGGGTGTCTCAGGCCGAGCGTGCATTAGAAATTTCTAGAGAACTACAATATCTAGCTCGGAGATTTTATGCAGATCATAGTTTCACAACGAGATATATCAATTAAAAATATTTTAAATATGCCGGCACTTCCGGAAGTACCGGAAGTTGACAGCAACTTTCTTATTTTAAATGGGTGTCCCCATTTTTTATTACATACTTAAATTCTCTGTAAAATTTTATGAATTTTGATATTAAACACATTTTGATATATCTAACATCGACCGTTTTTGAGAAAAAAAGAAATATTTGAAAAATAAAATTTTTGAACGAAAAAAACTGCATGTCAAAAATATGTATATAGCCTAAACGTCAAATTTAGTGATTACCACAGTCTTTGTGACCTAAAGAGAAAACATGTGGCTATCTGTTTCAAAAATTAAATTGTTCTAATGTCATATAATAATGGCCGCAGCTGTCTTAGAATTGAGCGATTAAAAAATTATCATAAATCATTTTTTTCAAATGGGAACCCACTTTTTTTATTTCATTAGTGAAAAGGCTTTTAAATTCGTTACTTTTTGACTATACATGTTCCTATACCTAAAATAAATCTTTTTTAAGTTATTAAAGATTTAGTTTTACAGCATATATTTTTCTTGATTTTAACCAGTAGCCTATGACTTTTAACCATTAAGCTACATTCTAAATCAATTCGCTGGCCGAGTCGTACTTTGGCACGCAAGCTTATCTTATGTACTTCAGTGTACTCATTCACAACAAAATTCGACGCCAGAGTGCAAGTTGAAGTTGGATTGAAAGCTTGCAAGCTGCAAACTTCCACTTCAGCACGGAATTTTCGTTTGACAATTATGACAAATTTGACATTTAAATTTTAATAATTATTTTGTTTGTGTCGTTGTTACAAGCCATTTTCCATTGAAAAGTAAATAATTATTAAAAGAAAAATGAGCGAAGGACGCTATTCTTATTTTATTAGGACTTGTGGCTTTGCTGTTAAAAAAAAACGGCAATTATTGTTGCAGCTCAATAATTACCTTGACCGAAAACCAAGGGGTTTACCAAAACCCAAAAAATGGGGTGTCCGACTCATATTAATGGCGAGAAAAAGTTTTGGGTGCTTAAGACACATTTTAGAAAAAAATCATCATAAAATGACGTTTTTGTTTCCATTTTTCTAAACTTAAAAACTTGGAAAACTTAATTAACAATTGTCCTGGATTTTGACTCTTCCAAAATCAAAACCAACAACTAACCTAAAAAATGTCAGGAGAACGTTTAAACACGCATGCGCAAAATTCGAATTAAAATTTGTTGTGAATGGTTAATTTCGTGCCGACTTTAACGTCGAAGTGCCACTCGGCCAGCGAATTGATTTCGAATGTAGC